CAGAACCTCAATGTCTTTCCTGAACTGAGGGGCCCAGAACTGGATACAGCACTCCTGGTGTGGCCTCATCAGTGCTGAGTACAGGGTCAGAATCACTTCCCTGATCCTTCTGGCCACACTGTTCCTGATTCAGGCCAGGATTTATTTAATTCAATACCTGATGTCTTTCTTTTCTCTCTGAACCCTTCATATTTGTGCAGTTAAATTGACACTTAGATACTATTGTTTTTATTTTTTTTCCCCCTTCACTTTACTGTTATTGCCTACTCCATTTTTTTTCTGTGATTTCCTTCACTCTGTAATCTCAAGTGGAACAGGTGTGTATATGTGTATTTCTATATGTATAGAATCATAGAATCATAGAATAGATTGGGTTGGAAAAGACCTCCAAGATCATCGAGTCCAACCCCTGATCCAACTCCAATTACTAGATCATGGTACTAAGGGCCACGCACAATCTCTGTTTAAAAACCTCCAGGGGTGGTGAATCCACCACCTCTCTGGGCAGGCCATTCCAATGCCTGATTACCCTCTCTGTAAAGAATTTCTTCCTAACATCTAACCTAAACCTCCCCTGGCAGAGCTTGAGCCCATGTCCCCTTGTCCTATTGTTGGTTGCCTGGGAGAAGAGCCCAACCCCCACCTGGCTATAACCTCCCTTCAGGTAGTTATGTAGTATGTAGGAAGAAAACAGCATACTCACCAGTTAATTCTTCTAGTCCCTGTTAATCTAGACCATACTTACTCATATATTCAGAGCAGTCTGAGTGTGAACAGAATAGAAAGTAGGAAAAATATACCTTTTGAGAAAAATAAGGAAAGTCTTATGAGGTAGAAGCTATATATCTAAGTTACTATTTTGGTTTATAAAACCTTTGGAAAACTATGTGCAACTAAAGTAAGCCATTAAAAAGTTCAGTATAGACAAATTTTGGACAATGGAATTTCAGGCTACTTCATGTTGTTACAAATGCATCATCTGTCCTAATATTTGGAATGTAGAGCCCTCCCTATTGCCACACACGTGCTACATGCAGCACTTCTGAAATCAGTCTTGAGTCTTCAATACCAGAACATTCTTGCTTGGCAATAAGATAAAGTACATAAGCATAGCTTTTCCAAGGGATACCTGTTAACAGACATGTTCTAGTATTTCCAGGCACACCAAGCCCTGTCCCAAATGACAACTGGAGTGGTGCCTAGAATGGCATATTCTCTGGACCATACTCAGGTTTGTATGGCAGAGGAATTACTGCTTGGAATATTAGACATGAGTGAACAAGCAGTCTGGGACTGGTACCATGCAGTAGTCGAGGGAGATATCCAAACTGAGAGTGTAGGGATACCAGAAATATTTCATTACAAAACTACTAAAGGAAGAAAATATTAGCCTCTTTTGGAATATTACATACGTCTTTCAATCAGTGAGTACTCATGGAGATGTACATATTGATAATAGTTTTCACTTTATATTGGAGAAAAATGGAATCGTAGTGATTTGCAATAGCTGTGAAAAAAATCTGAAAATATATGGATCAAGCCCTTCAAAAAAATAAAATTATTTGTGTTCCTAAATTTCTAATACCATATTTAGTGTGTGAAGAACATTAGTCTTCAGCACTAAGCTGAATGGAATGCAATGATATGACAAATGCTTTTTTTACTGGAATATTTGAAAATACTTGTTTTGGATATTTGGAAATGAAATGACTAATTTTAGGTTTAGGCAGTTTATGGAGGACAAGTGCTACTCTTGATTTCATAAATGTCATAACAACAAAAAACCCACCACTATTCCTGTCTTAAAATCTGAGTAAAAAGAAGGTAAATTTAAAATTTCTATATCTGGTCCTGATTTGTTTCTGCTTGAGTGAATGCTGACAAAGAGTCTAAACTTCTGTCACCCTTGATTTTGGAAGAATTTTCAGAAGTAATATTTAATATGATTTATTTTGAATAAGTTTTTAATTAGTATTTATAAGTGGTGGAAATTGTGCTAATTAAGTCTTTAAATACTTAAAGTCTTAGACCATTTGAACTAAGCAGAACTCTCTGAAATATATTTACCCACAGTTTTTTAACAGAATTTCTATTTACATTAATAGCATTAATGTAATAGAAACTTATTGAACAGCATTGAAGGATATGTTAGTGTTTTATGATTATGTAAAAAAGAGGACAAATAGGGTCATACGTATCTTGTTTACAAAATTAAATCTAGAACAAAGAAAATTCCTACTTGGAAAGAGATTGAAACAACTAGGACAGCTTGCTTTAAAAAAGAAATGAGAAATAATAAGGAATAAAAATGCAAAGAAAGTAGAATAGTGTAAAAAATTCAATTACGTTTATTTTCAGAGTACATGAACAAGGAGAAGTTCAACTAAATTACAATGTGGCAAATTTAAAAGGAAATACTTTTGCAGTCTTCTTATCAGTAATGATTATCAGAATGTCATTGAAGTCAAGAATCTGTGCAGAGCTGTGTAAAAATTACAGTCTAGTTTGGCAATTCCTGTGTTCCCTGACAGATGACAATCTCAGAGTAACAATCTGTAGCTTTAAATGGCACAGAGTTGGTAGGACAGTGTCACATACAGTTTGAAAATAGATACTACCTATCAGATACTACCTATAGGTGAATTATTCCCCTCCCTCCCCACCCCCCTGGTAATGCACTTGTATATGTTAAAAATGAAAATACAGAATACACTAATGTAATTAAAAGTGTAAAACTTATTTTCTACTTTATTATCTAGAATCAGTAATAAAATGGCTTGAAGGGTTAGAAGTAGTAACTTACTCCCTACCCAGTTTCATAATGTTAAAAAGTTAATGAAAAATGCCAAGTATTCCTTTTAGATGAGTCATAAAGTATTGCAACTGGAAAATTAGTTTTATTTTAGAAGGAGGGTGATTTTTAATTAGTGCTTTAAAATATAATATAGTTTCATAAGAAGAAATGGCCTTCTGTCGGTAATTCTTAGTGAGACAACAGTAAGAGTAAAGGAAGCAATTTTAGGCAGTAACAGTTAAGGACATTGGTAATCTTTATATTTTTTATTTCAAAGGACAGGGCATCTTTCTGTGCCCTGTTACGAAGCCCTAAGAGATACAGACTTCTGAAAAACTTCATTTTGGAGAAGTGGAAAATGAAAACACTGTCTAAAGGCAGAGTTTTCAAGTTAATATAATATGATTCATACAATAACCAAAATCCATAGGATCATATTCTTACCTCTATTCTGACATGCTATGATGATAAATACTAAATTGTATGGCTTTGAAAACAGTTAAAGGATTTAAAAGAAATCCATTTGCACAAATATGTGGAAATAGATGTAGCATTGCCTTCTTTGTAGAGCTTGCAAGCAGATTTGAGGACATGAGTGTTGCTTCAGCACAGAACCCTTCGATAAAGCAGTGGTGAGAATATCAACTCTTTAGGTGAGCTTTGAGGTGACCAAGATGAGATAGGCCACTTTCATACTTCTGTGTTGGGTCATTGTGCAAGGCAATGAAAGTCAAATACAGAACCAAAGAGTTTGTTATGTAAGAGAAAGCAAGAAATGGCAACAATGACATCAGCAACTAATATGCATATTTAACACATCCCATCAAAACAAGGTTGGTACATTAACTCTTTCAGATGAACTCATTGGTATAATAAATTTTTTTTATAATATTATGTATATATGGATACATAGAGAATATACTTATGACTATTGGATTCTGCCTTTTAAAAATTGTTACATAGTTTTGTTCCGTGGCTGATATCAGAAATGTAGTAGTATATCCTAGTTCTTGGAATGGAAGTTTGAGAATGTAATGAATCTCATGAGCCATACTGTTTGTTTTGATAAGCAATTATATCTTTTTTCTTCAATTGAAACCTACTCTGACAGTTTGGACATTTAAAGATGTTGTGCACACACTCATGAGCCCATCAGGGATGCTGAAGAATAATTTAGTCACATAGAACTCAGGAAAAGAAATTGAAGCAACATATACATACCTTCTGTCATTTTCCTTACTTTGTAGATTGAGGAAATTTGGTATGAATTCAAATAAAGGTTTACATGATTTGTCTCTTCCCCATTAGCATTAGGCTGGTAAGAGCTTTGAAGAGCTCAGGATGAGAGCGTGAAATATCTTTTGCTCAAAAGATCATTTGCACAAAATCTATCTTTTAATGTCCATTAACCAAAGGACTTCAGAAAGAAATGGTTGAAAATGTAATCATGCTATTTATGATCCTGGAACAACAGTCGAAATAGTACACAGTTGGAGTATGAGTTCCAGCTAGTAAAACTGAACTCTAATTAATGCCCTCAGAGGTCAGACCAACAGCAGACATGAGTCATTTTGGATTCTCAGTGGTTTAAAGCTCTGCGTTAGAGTAGAAGTCACCAGATCTGTGGCATTTTATTTACATTGTTAAATGGACTAATCTTTGCTCAGAAATCAGTTACCCACAGTATCTCATCACTTTTGCCTCATAATCTAAAAGCTATTAAACAGATTCCTGATCATGCTCAGGCTTATTCTTGTTAAAATTTTCTCTTGTCTTGACTACTTTTATTTTTTCTTGCAAATTTTGTTCAGTTGGAATCTGATGTTCTTTCATTACTGTAATGCAGTTTTGTTTATTGTCTTGCATTTGTATAACCTGAAAGTCAGAAAATATCAAGTTCCTTTGCTTCCTGTATCTATGTAATGGATTCCTTCCTGTCAATTTAACAAAGAAACATGAACTTATCTATAGCTGGAGATCAAGGAAAACCTCATGCTCATTTTCATCTACCTTTGCATATGTGGATACAAAAGCAGATATTAAATAGACTAAGTCAGTAACGAATTTTCAGTGTTAAGAGTTGTATAATATCCATGAAAATGCTGTCTGTCCAAAACCGTCTTAATTTATGTGTTCTATATTCTCAAGAAAAATGAAGCATTGATTTATAAAAACGTTGTAAGTAATAAATATATATTTGCTCCAGAATTACAGAGCAGTTCCTGTGGCAATCCGGGAGTTCCACCAAAGGGTATCTTGTACGGTACAAGATTTGATGTTGGTGACAAAATCCGATACAGCTGTGTAACTGGATATATTTTGGATGGACACCCCCAGCTTACTTGCATAGCTAACTCTGTGAATACAGCATCATGGGACTTCCCCGTTCCTATCTGTAGAGGTAAGAGAAATCCTACAGCAAAGTTCTTGAATATATACATTAGTATGAACAAATTTTTATCTCTGTATTGACAATTTTTAAACTATGATTAAAGAAAAGCCCTCTTGAATATTTTGATCTCTTCCTCACATATATGATGTATCTCAGCATGTATACCTACTACATTTTAGGTCAATATTCTATTAAAATTATGTTTATCATCTATTTAAAGATATATGTTATGTAACAAGAATTAGAAACGTAGTAATAAGTAGAATATAAATATGTACAACATATTTACAACTATGAGAATGTCAATTAGGGATGTATTAGTACTTCCTAGGGACTGACTTTTTGTCGAGCAGTAAATTGGATATTGAACAAATAGAAATTTGAAACTGCCAGAACAATTGAACTACAGAGTGTTGCCTCATTGTCAGTCAGGTTTGGTTATCTTAAGATTTCTATAAAGGATATCCCTTGTATTCTAACAAATATAGGTCAAATTCTTTTTCATCACTAATATTAAAAATATAGCAGTAGTAGGGAATCCTGTTTTATGGGTAAATCTTATTTTCTGAGACTATTAGATAGAAATAATGTTTGCAGAGTAACAAAAGGAGCCATGCTGATAAAATGGAGACATTATCACTACTATACCCAACCAAATACAATAAAGATAGTATTCTGATGAAACATTCATGTCAGTCAAGCCTAAGCTCAGTTTCTAGATTCACAGGTTAATTTTACAGAATACAACATTTATATTTGTTTAAAAACATTGATACAATCTTGCAGAGGCTATAAAAACATTCCAACTGAAATTAGCATTCCGATAAATTCAGTTTGGTTAAACATGGTTATCCAGTATCATAAAAAAGTAGTTATGTATGAGAAATGTGTATCATTGGAAATACCATGCTATCATTTCCTGTTTTTGGCCTAGAGTTATTTCATATGTTTATCCATGCTCTTGAGGAAATTACAAACTTATTTTTAATAATCCTATTTTCCATTAAAATTATAACTTTTGAATCTTTCCCTCCTACTTACCAGAAAAATGCTAGCTCATAAGGAAGGAGATAGACAACTGAGGCATAAAGCCAAATTTTGTTTCTGGAGATGATAATACACAAGATTTGATGAGAATATGTTAAATTGCAAAAACTTACATTTGTAACAAAGTAGAAGTCTAACAGGCTTTACTGTAGACCATTTTTCAAATTCTAGATTCGCCAATTTTGAAATGAATTGGCATAAAAAATTGCAGTCATAAATGAGGAATATGAGAGACTGGAACCTGATGCTTCCTCTCACTAGTCAGTCATCACAGTCACAATGTTACGCACACAATGTTTTCTTTAATACAACATTTTTTAGTAGATCTTTTGATATATTTTGAGTTTTTTCCAAGGGGACATGAAAATATACAGTGTATATTTTAGCTGGAGTAATAAACTCCCAAAGTAACCCTGTGGTTAAATAAGGCTAAGCAGAAGACTACCACATAAAAATATGAAAAACATGTTCTTTCTTACTCATCATTAGAGAGGTCATTTTCTAAACAGCATCACTTTTTAAGGCAAAATAGAGTTAACAAATTGAAAATTATTCAGAAAAAGATGAAAAAAATTCTGATAGGTTTCAAAATTGCCTATAGACTGAAAGAACTCAAACTTTTCAGTGTACGTGAAAGAAAATAAAGAGATGGCTTGATTTACTGCAGAAACTCCAACAGAAGGAAAACATATTTTTGACAAGACAGTTCTCTGATCAATAGCAGTGAAGAGTTTAAGGGGTAAAAGCTTGATGAATAAAGAATAAAAAAACCCCAAGGTACACACTTTAGTAGCGGTGATTACGAACTACTGAAACAGAACCTAAGAATGTGGCAGACTCTTGATTTAAATCTTAACATAATGGCTTCAAGGCTTAATGCACCAAATTGCTGTTAAGGTATTTTTGCTCTGTGTTCAATTAAAAAAAAAAAAAAGAAAAAAGAAAAAAACATCTAATTATTTTTAGTAGTTCCTTCTATGAGTCTATGTTTGATATCAGAAACATCCAACTTTACATTTAAAACATACCCTTGTGATTCCAGTCTAGTGATTCTCTCCTAATTTTGCCGAATGCAATTATACAACACGGAATTCTGTAGAAGGTTGCTAAAGGTGATTACTCACTAATGAGCTTCTGATCTCTTTGTCACTGTTTGCCACGGAGACTCTCTTTGATTAAACACTCATCCTTAAAGATTTCCTCTGATAAATGTCTTATTATTCTCTACCAATGGTCATTAAATCTAAAAAAGAGAATCCTGACATGAACAAGTGGTGTATAATTTCCAGATTTTGAGAGTATATATGTAAGAATTAATATTTTTCAATACTAAAGAACTTGACTACTTTTTTTGGGTTGGTTTGCCTTTTTTGTTTGTTTGTTTGTTTTGTTTTGTAGATGGGCAGGTCTCTCCAGACGTGCGCATACTAGTTGTCCATTTTAATATAATTAGTTGGCTGGGGCAAATACAGAGTTTTTCAATGCCATGACCTAGGAAATACTTTTGTTTTGTTGGAAAAAAAAATGCCCTAAGAAAAGATCAAAAGTATATTTTATTCAATATTAGGTTGGGGTTTGTTTGTTTATTTTACCTTTAGAAAATAAATTGCAAAGTTCTGAATTTACAGCATGCTTAGAAGTCAGCAGACTTAAGCTCATAAATGTCTGTAAATCATCTGTGTGTAAATATCATTGTCATCTGCCTCTTGTAATTCAGAACAAGCACATTTGGGGAGTATTTTTTTTTCTTTTTCTTTCTTTTTTTTTTTTTAATAGATCAGTCCTTTTACCATGCCTTCCCCACAGACTGATGTCTCAAAATGGGGAATTTAATTGGAAACAACAGTGTTTTATATTTCCACAATCATACATACTACTAAATGCTTTTCAAAAGTTGTTGTTATGTCATTAGTAATGACATCTCCTGTCTGGAGGTGTGAAGTCTGGGGGCAGCCTCAGCTGTGGTGACCATGAAAATGTGCAGTTCAGTATTGGGTGAGGAGGGAGCAGGGCAGCAAGTAAGATTACAACTATGGTCTTCAGGAGGGCTGATTTTAGCCTCGTCAGGGATCTTCTTGGAAGAATCCCATGGGACCAGGCCCTGAAGGGAAGAGGGGTCCAAGAGAGTTGGGTGGTATCCAAGGATCATTTCCTCTAGACTCAGTAATAATAATGAATGCCAATGAGCAAGAAATTGGGCAAAGAGAGAGACCTTCATGGATGAATAAAGAACTCCTCTCATTATTGCAGTATAAGCAGGAAACACACAGTAGATTGGATACATGGTCAGGCCACTTGATTATGAATATAGAGAGGTTGTCAGAGTAAGTAGAAATGAGACAAGGCAGGCCAAGGGCCATCGAGAATTAAATCTGGTCAACAATGTCAAGAACAAGAAGGGTTTTTTCACATATAATAATAATAACAAAAGGGAAACAAAGGGAAACAAATGTGTGTCCATTCCTAAATGAAGGGAGGACCCTGGGAACAGAGGATGCAAAAAAGGCAGTTATTGAATGCCTTCTTTGCATTGTTCTTCACTGACAAACCAGTCCTCAGGGATCTCTGACCCAGGAGAGCAGGATAAAGGGATTTTGGAAGTAAGACTTTCCCTTGGTTAAGGAAGATTGGGTTAAAGAACACCTAAGCAAACTTGACATCCACAAGTTCATGGGCCTTCATGGGATGAATCCACAAGTGCTGAGAGAATTGGCAAATTCCATAGCAAGACCACTTACGATCATCTTTGAAAGGTTTTTGGAAGGTGCCTGAGGACTGGAAGAAATCACATCACACTGGTTTTCAAAAAAGGACAAGGAGGACCCAGGGAACTACTGGTCAGTCAGCCTTACCTTAATCCCTGGAAAGGTGATGGAGTGCCTCATTCTGGAGGCCATGTCTATCCATATGGATGACAAGAAGGTGATCAGAAATAGTCAGCATGGGTTCACTAAACATAAATCAGGCTTCACCAACCTGATGACCTTCTATGATGAAACAACTGCCTGGATCAATGAGGAGAGAGCAGTGGATATTGCCTATCTTGAATCATCAAGGCTCTCAACACCGTCTTTCACAGAATCCTTGTAGACAAACTCAGGAAGTTGGACTGGATGAGTGGTCAGTGAGATGAATTGAGAACTGGCTGAATGGCAGATCCTGGAGGGTCATAATCCATGGCACAGGGTCTAGGAGGAGGTCTGTCACTAGTGGTGTCCCCAAGGTTCAGTACTGGGCCCAGTATTGCTTAACTTACTCACCCATTACTTGAAAGAAAAGGGGCAGATGTCTCCTCAGCAAGTTTGCTGGTGGCACAAAGCTGGGAGGAGTGGCCAATACCCTAAAGAGCTGGGCACCCCTTCAGAGGGACCTCAACAGGTTGGAGAGATGGGCACTCTGAAACAGTCTGAAATTCAATGAAGGCAAGTGCAGGACCCTGCACCTGCAGTAGAATAACCCCCACACCAGTACAGGCTGGGGGCTGGCCTGCTGGACAGCAGCTCTGCAGAGAAGGACCTGGTGGAGCTGGTGGACAGAATTCTTCCTGCTTGAGCAGGAAGGTTGGACCAGTCGACCTGCTCTGTTCCCTTCCAACCTTAACTATTCTGTGATTCTGTGAATTATACTGTGCATAATCCATGATTAGTTTTTAAATAAAGCCTTCTTCCCTGACAAATTAATTTTGATAAGGTTGTTTTCAGTAGTGAAATAGGACAGCAGCTTTATTATATCACCTATTCCTGAGCTAATGTTGCAGCTTGCAGTTCCTCCATAATGGAACACATTAGGAATAATTTACTAAAGGTAACAAATAAGTTTATGTTTATATATAATATTTTCATTCTATAGAGGTTAAAACAATTCAACACTTTCATAATCAGGGAAGTATTCTGACTTTTACATTTTTAAAGGTTTTCCTATTACACAGTAAAATGACTGTCATAAGAATCTCTATTCTAAAA